TCTCGTTCTCAGGACCCCCAGCCACCATTATTCATTGTATGCCATGTGGGAGGCACCCCGCCTCACCGCCTCCCTACATCCCTACATCCCAACATCCATATATTTATATATGTTTATATGTGTGTGTGTGTAAGGGCCTGATTCATTTTTTACCCTATGAGATAATAAAGGAGCAGCAAGAAAAATTGGGCGCAAGAAGTTTGCGTTGCCTTCAAGAAAAATGACCCTCAAAATATCGGTATATATGTGGGATGGGGTTGCAAAACGACAAAAAAGACAAAAAAAAGGAGTAAAAGAAGATGCCCTGGCCAAAGGGGGCAAATGCATTTCACTTGAAAGGCTTTTGACCAGGCCCCCAAGAAGCAAACGCAAAACACATTAGAAAATATTCACTTAGGGCAAACTATTTGCATATGAAGTCAGCCAAGTGCAACGGGGCGGATGATTGATAAATGAAGAAGTCGAGCGGGCACAAAATTGAAGCAGAAAAGGGCAATTTAATATGATGAAAAATTTGAAAAATTTATAACAGTTTTGAGAATTAAATATAACTACCAGACATATTACCTAAAAATGGTGGAAATTAAAAATTATTTAACTAATTTAAACTATTTTTTAAAAATAAAAAATCATTTCAAAATATTGAAAATTATCCAGATCAAATTTGTTAAGGAAATTTTATTTTTCTTATCTATTAATTTATAATAACACCCGGCCAAGAAAAACAATTCACTTCAATGGCATTTTTTCACAATTTTAAATTTCAAAATGCAGCCAGAGAATTAATTTTCTTTCTCGACTCCTTCGTCTTCCATACTTATTTTCTACATAATACGATTTATAAATTTTTTTTCATTCTTCCCTGCTTTAAATCCCTGCCGTTTCTATAGAATCTTTTTATAATCTATTGCTTGTCTTCCTCCCCTTCGCTAGACATCATTTGTATAATTTAAAGCTCCGTTCTCTCACATTTTCGCATTGGCATACTGGAAATGAAAAATTTAAATCGCGCATACGCCGCATTGACCATTATTTCCACTTACCACTCATCTCCTAAATCGCCTTCTTTCAGCTTTGTTTGTACCATATATTTCTGGAGTTTTTTCCCCATTTCTGGAAAACTGGATAACTAGAGTTAGCGGTAGTTTTGGTGGCTGTGTCTCACTTTGTTGGATTTTTATTGTTGCTTTTTATGCGCCCCACACAAGTTTTTATTCTCTTCTTTACAGTTTTTACAACAGCGAAACTTTCCTTTTATTTATTTCCTGCCTTGCAAGTGCCTGCCACGCCCCAATTGAAATGGAAATCTTCTCAGCCATTTTATATTGTGTTTAATACATTTTAAAGGCGGAGGGGGTGGTGGCAAATGGCTTTCAATGAAAAATTTCGAACAATCAAAAAATACATACAAAATTTTTTTTTTGCCATGCATGATAATTTATGAACTTGTCAAATGTGTCTCAGTTTTCCCAACCATTTCAGCCATTCGTTGTATAAAATTTATTCATTCCTCTGCGCTTGGAAAAAGAGTTTTATTTATTGTGATCGTTGTGGCGCAAAAAAAACGAGAGTTTAACTTTATGCGAGACACAAAACCAAATGCATTCCGTGGCAACTGCACTCGCTTTTGAGCCCCTTCCACAGACGGCAATCATTTGTGTGTGCTGCTATCGCCCTTCCGCCCTTTTTGGTGCTCAAATTAAATTTACAATTTGTTTGGCCAACACCAAAAAGCTTAACAAAATAATACTCGTATCGGGACAAAGAGAAATCGCTGAAAGCCTTCAAAGGAGGGGAGGAAGCCGCTTGAATATATTACAATTTTCGGAATTAAAGCCGATTTTCAACGAATGGTATTGTGTAAACTGAAATATCATATATATACATATTTTTAAACATCTACAAAAATATTCTGCGAATTTTGAGTATCTCCTGCTGTTTTGTTGTATTCTGCTTGTTAAATAAAATATAGATTTTAAATTTGTTTAATTTGGTTATTTTATTTATCTCCCTATATATAAATAAATTCTATAAATTATGGCAAGTGTTAAAGCGTTGCCCAGCAGTTGTGGTTTAATTATTATTTGTATCAATTTAATTTGTATATATTTTTTTTTCTTTAAACCCATTTTTCTACCATTTAATAGACGTTCTTGCACACAGATTAAATTTCATTTTTCCACCACTGCAGTTATGATTTTCGGTAATTTTTTATTTGTGGGCTTAGTTTGCGTAATGAGGTTAATCCAATTTGAGTTGTCGTTGTGCCATTTTTGCGCTTCATAAACCCAATTACGTTCCTATTTTCGTTTGTTTCGTTTTTTTTTTATTTTTTTCTATTGAATTTCCATTTCGATTGCCATTTGGTTGTGGCCAACAACAACGAACAATGAACTGGGACCGACTTGTTCCCCTTTCACCCCCGCTGACATATTTGTGATCTATCAAAAAGCAATTCACTCAACCAAATCATCAGCATTCATTTGGATTCATCCCCCGCCCCGTGTCCCCGCTCTTGCCGCCATTCAGCCATCCATCCATCCATCAATCAATCAATCATTATGCTCATAAAAATTAGCAACATCAAGCGGTAAACTGGAACAAATGAAATGCCGCCTCAAGCCGCAAAAATGTTTGCATTAAAATTAATTACAACTGAAATCGTAGCCCAGAAATCTACGACTGATGAATACAAATTGTGTGGGCGGCGTAAAATATGGAAGCGCATTAAAAAGGGTTATAGCATCCCATGGGGCGTATGCGCAACGCCCTTAGGAACAGCCCTTTGGCAACCGTAACAACTGGAAATCCATCAACACTCTGTGTCACGCCCCCTTACAAAAATGGGACACATGCTCGGGACTTTCACACAACATTGAAAGGTGTTGCCCCGGCTGACAAATTGGAGGGCAAACACAGAAAAATCAGATCAGAATACAGATCTAAAGTCGAAATTCGTATGTTCTTTCGTATGAAATAATGTGCCAAAATACAAAGAAATAAATCGGATTGAAGACAAAATATATCATTGACTGTAAACTAATTATTGTGTGCTTAACAAAATATAAAGCAAAAACTATAAATAAATTATATCCCAAAACAAAAAATGTTTTTTAAGCGAAATACAGTTTAGAAAGTCAGACATAAATCAATATACTATATGAATATAAAATAAAAACAATAAAAATTATAAATATAATAACAAATAATAATACAGACATCAAAAACACAAAGAAACAAAAAATAAAAAACTTACAATTAAATTTACCAGATATAACTTGAAAGAATTCAGTCTGCTAAATTTTTCGTCACCATGAAAAATAAAAACATATTGAAGTTATCAGAAAAATTGGGAAATAAGGTTATTTCCAAGAAATGTAATTAAGTGCCCATAAAATCCATAGATTCACATATCAGCCAATCTTATTTAATTTATCTGTGGTCCACTTCATTCCTGGAAAATGCTTCGAGTCTTGAACAAAATCTGTTGTTCTCGAACGAAGGGATTTTTATTGTATTTATTGCCGCCCAAGACAAGTGAAAAACATGTGAGGGGCGGGGGTGGTGGAGGTGGGTAAAGTGGGCGTGAAGCTGTTGGAAAATCTTACAAGCCGCCGAGTGACAAGGCAAGGGAAAACATGGCTAGTGTGTTTGTTTTATAAACGTACTTTTTTTATTGCCAGCAAAAATGGTTGGGACAACCACTGGATTGACAAAAGACATTTATATATTTTATTTTGAATTTTTAAAAAAGTATTTTATTGATATTATTCAATTCCTAAGTTGTGTAACACTTTTTTCGGTTGGCTGACTGAAGAAAAAGCTACCATGGCTCCTCATTTCCTGTCTCGTATTTGTTTGTTTGCCTTCCCCCTGCGGAAGTGTTTTTTTTTTCAGCTCCTTCGAACTCTTTGATTTGATTAGTGCCAAACCACCCGCAATCCTTCGTCTGATTGCTCTATGAATGAATCCCAATGAATGGCCACAAAGAAGAGAAATCATTCCCCACTTTTTTTTTATGATTTTTCCCTCAGTTTTTCAGCTTTGAAATTGGTCTGGCTTCGTCAGCGTTTTCCGTATATATATATATATGTTTATATATATATATATATATATATGTTCGGATTCGGATTCTGATTCTGGAATTAGCTTGTTTCCTGAGCTGTCGCACATGTGCCACGAATTTTCAGCTACCAAATTGAGTTACGAAAGTGGAATGATGTTAATGAAGCGCCGGCTGCTCCTCGGTATGTGGCAAAATTTTTGATTTCTCACTTACTTATCCCAAAAAAAAATCTGTACGTTCTCTTTCCTATTTGGTACAAGCCAGCTAGCTTTTGAAATGTGCAACTGACAATCTTACTGATTTCGAACACTTTTCTAGGTTTGGGATTGAATTTAAAACATATCAAATAAATATTAAACTGCATAAATGGGTAACTTTCGATTTTTTTAAAATGTTAGGTTCTTTTATAGATTTATTTACTATTTTACTATTGTTCTTCAAATTGAATACCAACAGTATGCTTTATTTGCTCAAATCACAGTCTTTAGCAACTTTCCCAGGCATTTTTCACTTCTTCCACTCATTAGACGCCCATTAGTCAGCTTAATACTCACGATGATCTATGCCAATCTATTCCGAAAATCTTTTTTCGGAGGCCTTTTTCTGTTCAATCTACCGCACAGTTGCGACTCATTAAGAAATCATTTTTCACAAGGAGCCAAACAAACAAAACGGCCAGCAACAACAAATAAATAGAGACAATTTGAATGGGGAAACCGAGAAACGAAAAAAAAAAGAGCATTTGTCTAAGAATAGAAACTTCGGGGCACAGGCACTTGTTGAGAATAAAACGAGGGAGAGGCAAGATAGCGGGCAATGCCATGACCTCTCATACATTTTCCGGAAAATCTTCTCCCTGTTTCAGCATATCTTAAATTCCAGAAAATTACTACAAATAATGCCGCAGATCTTGGGGGAATTTCAGTTTATTTACCTTGATTTCTTTTCGGCTGCCTCTACGATTGATGATCCATTTATGTCGTTGGTCTTTTGGCTGTCGGGTTGAACATTATAATATATTAAATTATTTTATTGAAACGCGAACTAAACGGCGAATTTGAAAACGAATTTAATTATTCAGTATTATGGGTTATTGGTTCTGCGCGATGGAGCCACCACACACTATTTGCACTTTGATCTTTTTTGTTCACTTAATTCTTGCTTTTTTCCGTGTTTATTTGTTACTTTTGTTCATTACTTTAACTGGCCTTTGTTTTTGTGTAATTATTAAACGCTTGTTTTGTTTTGCTTTGTTAATAACTTAAATGCAATTTGTTCTAATTAATTTATATGATATGTTGAATTAATTGCATTTTACTTTCGTAATATATTTGGACTCTATTTCAGTCTATTTGAGCTTTGTTTACTATTATGTATTTAATTATCAATTAGTTTATTAAGAATAAAGTTATTTAAATTTGAATTTGAAAATATTTCAAATATAGAAGAGTTTCGTAATAATTCGAAAGTTTTTTTTTAGTTTCTCTAGGCTTTTGTCTTAAAAAAGGTCTTCGTGCTGAAATGAGAAAATGTGGAAGGTTATTGGTTAGTAATTCAGAGAGAATATGTTTCTTAATATTTTAAAAAAAGCATACATTAGTTAGTTTAATGAATTAAATAATCAAGTATTTTATATTATTTTTTGAAAAACGTTAAGCCTTGGCATATTCTATTAATTTCTTCTATTTATGTTTATCTTCCATTTTTTTTACTTAGCAAGTATGCTATCTATTACACAATTAAATTGTTTATTTTTTGAAATAGTCATTTGTTTTTCATCAAGTTGATAGGTGTTATTATGGGAACTTGATTTCATATTATTTTCTCATTTTTTTATATTGACCCAAAGACAAAGAGGGAGATGGCAGAATGCGAAAGAAAGGGAGCGCGCTAACATTGCCGTTTTCCATTGAATTATGCTGCAATAAATTTTACCTCATAAGCCAATAATGACGAAAACTTTTGTGTTGCACATTTCGTGCCATGAGTCTGGCCTACTCCTGCCCGCCTGGCTGCCTGCCTGCCACTCCCCCTTACCGCCTTACCGCCCACTATCCCCCTTTCATTCCCACTCATTTGCTCTTCCTTTGTGCCGCCTGCCTGCATAACAATGTCCTACATTTCCAACACGTACCATCGACAACAATAACAACAACAACTTTGGATGATATTTAACAAGCGGGCAAAGGGGCGTGGCACCCTACCACCGCCCACCGCCCCATTTTTCCCGTCCATCCGGCGTGCGAGCGAGATAGACAAATGCGAAAATTGCATACGAAACGTAACGAAAATGCAAAGCCCAAAGTTATTGAGACAGAAGAGTGGCGGAGAAGTGGAAAATCGGGCTTGTCAGACTTGTAGGTACACACATCTGTATAAACACATAAATATATACATATATGTAGATATGTATAAGCTATATGCATATGGGCACATCAGTGTACCAGTGCATATACCTATATGCATATGCGGGCCGTGATTAAAGCCAACTTAAAGCGAAAACTGCAAAAAGGCAAGCGAAGAGTTGGTAAGAGATAGTGCAAAAGGAGCGGCGTGGAAAAGAAAGAAATAGTTGCAGATTGAGACAGTTCACTGGGCGAAAAAATAAACCAAGTGAGATGCAAAAATTCTGATGGTCCTACTTAGATAATCTTTCTTTAGTTGTAAAAAGAATCAGTGGCATTTCAGTTTTGTAAGTTATCAAAAAATAAAACAAACATCTAGATTTTAAAACAATGATCTGTAAAAAATCAACAAATGAACAAACTTAAGTTAAATCTAGGGAATAATGATCACATTTAACAAAGATATGATATGCTGTGAGCTGGTCAATCATAAAATATAAACCCTGTTTTTATTCAAAAAATATTTATAAAACCCTAAGATTTCTCGGCGTGCCATTTGTTTTTTGTATTATTTCAAAGTAATAGTGTCCTCCGCTTAGTTTTAGTTTTTAAAGCCAATTTAAATAAATATTTTAAATGCTTGATTAAATTATTTCCCTTAAACTTTTCTTATTTTTCTCATTTTCGCAAAGTTTTTCCAGCTTTTTCACGTGTGGCGGCGTGCTATGCGAGGCGACTGCATAATGTATGCACACATCGCGCCTTCCACTGCCATTTTACCCATTCCCCGGCTTTTGATATACGGTGTAGTACAGTTAAGTAGTTACTACATACGATGGGGCCAGCACAAACATTTCCGGGCTGCTTTCGTTTTCAAGACAAAGCCAAAAGTCGAACTTCTTGTTGGCCAAAAGGGGTTGAGGCTTCATCGCCATCGTCGTCATCGCCAGCTTTTGAATCTCGGTCACGAGGCGGAGTTCAGGGGGTGGCTGTGACGAAGGAGAAGAACAACTCTGGGCGACATAAATTGGCGACGGTTCTATGTGTATGAAAAGGCATGCCATTAAATAAATATTGTGTAATGTGCCGTCTGTCCATGTCTCATGTCTTATGTCTCTTGGCTCACTGTGCGCCAAAACACCCCTCCTTCACTCTTTCGCCCGCTGGATCCCGAACTATGTATGTAATTAAATTTGGTGTTTTTCCTTGTCTGATTTAGTTAGTTTTACCAATTTGCATATGGGCACGGACAAGAGAAGCAACCCCATTTGCGCGACCCTTTCACGCGGTTTTTGGCCGGGCGAAATTTTTGGGGCTTTCCGTTTGGACTTTATGGAAGCCACTCACAGTAGTTAATGGAGATGAAATTCATTTTGGGAGTTTCGGTAGTCGAACTTCTTAAAGTGGAAATTGTAGCTTAAAGAATATGCCAGTTTTTTAACTCAAAATATGTATATTATTTCATAAATTATTCAGCATTTTAATAACACTCAATATTTTTCTTAGAAAAAGAAGCCAATATCTAATTTTATTTGTAAAAGGACAACAAAATCGGTAAAAGTTTGGTAAACTGTATAAATTTGTAAGCTTTGTAAATTTTGACCTTCACTGCTGCAAGTATCGACTAAAAAATAAATAAATTATTGCAATCAGGTAATAAACGTATAGAAAAAATAATAATATAAAAGATGTATAACTTTTAAGCTATACACGCGAAATCACTTTCTTATAGCAACAATATGCTGGTATACCTTGGTATTTCTATAACCATTTGCTTTCCTCTCCCTTAACGTATAAGTACATTGTGTATCCTATTTTTAGCCAGACAATTTCTCATCTTCATTCAAGCACTTTAACTAAGTTAGTGCATCGTTATGTACTCTTCTCTTTAGCCATCCATTTTTCCTCGCTATTCATCGTCATCACGAGGCACGCTTATTCACACTTATCGAAGCATACTTATGGGCGCAGGCGAAGCTTAAGTGCAACATTGCTGCTGTTGCCCTGCAGCACAGCAAAAAATGGTTAACTTTCAATCGAAGCTCGAAAAATAAATATTTGTATTGACTTGGTATGCTTGGTATGGCCCAGATAATTATAGATTTTAAAATTGAAAAGTTTTGGTTGAAAAAATCTTTAAATTGGTTGATAAAATATATTTGAAAATTACTTGGTAAAATTAGATCATTTGGAAAAATAGCCATTTTTTTTTAATAATGTATACAAATCTCATGATTAACACATTTATTAATAGTCCGTGAAATATATATATATATATATATATATATATATATATATATGTTCGACCCAAATAAATATATTGATGGACTGTCATTAAAGGCAGATCATTTTTTCGAGTGTACCCCAGCCGGTGTTGTTGTTTGGCGAGTGTAAAAATTGTGTGTTTGTGGGTTTTTGTTGTTTTTTGCGCGCTGCCTCATTGCATTTTCGTTTTTGGGGGCATTCGCTTGATTATGTATATTTACCCTAACACATTGAGTGACGATGGGCGGGGGGCGCGGGTAGTTGGCCTGTAATTGCTATTTACACTGGCGCAAGCACACAGATACTCACTCATACACACAAATACAAACGAAGATCCTGACACACATACACACACACAGGGACAATTATGTTTGTGTGTCTGATTTGATGGCGATAGCTGGCCAGGCCAGAAACCAAATCAAAGCCAACAGCAAACAAATAAATACAAACACAAAGGAAGACACACACACACACACACACACACAGGGAAACTCAGCCATATAGAGACAACTGGCTATGTGCATGTATGCAAAATTTTGCATTGGTTTAATGCGCGACCTAAAGGCCATTTAAACTAGGACAAATGAGGCCAGGCGCAGGACCCAAAACCCAAAACCCAGAACCCAGAACCCAAAACCAACAATCCAAAGCCCCAATCCGTAGCTGAAACTCAGACCAACAATGGAAGGATATGTCGAGACGACAATAAAGGAAGTCACTTTTGTTTTCAGTCCGCATTATTTGCCATTATGCAGTGTGCTCCTATATGGATTTTTTAGCAGGCTTAAAAATAAGAGAAACAAGATAGCGACAAATATGCGACACGTTCGTTGCACGTCCCTTTTTCCCTTATTATCCTGCCATCTCATTTTTTCGTCCTGCAATTTTGTTTCCTTTTTCCTGCTCGTAAATTGGGTCAGTCGAGGAGTGACAATAACTAAATGAAATCTATCACAAGCAGTCGACTTTTGGCTACCAAAAAATAGGAGTTTTCCCAAAAAAATACATTTAATGAACTGGGAACAACTATACTTAAAGAAGCGATTTAATTTAGTAATATTGTATGGACTTTATACAAAAACCATGGAAAATATATACCAAGGAATTCTAATTATATTAAGCTTTCAATACTATATATAACTTCGAAGGAGAAGAAAAAATGCCACAAAAAATTTGAAACTCATGTCTTTAAAAACTTATACGTACCTAATAGAAAATCCCAGACTTTACAAAACTATAAACATAAATAAATATTAAGCAAATATACCCCGTAATACCCTGTACCGGAAAATTGTGATTACGATTCCGACAATTTTTCTTCTGCTCGCCTGACCAATTGATGATGCTGGTACTGAGTAAATATATTTAATTTTAATTTATTTATAATATTATGCATCCATTTAGTTGCTCGGTTTTTTTTTATATATATATATTTTATTTTATTTGTACTACTGCCTTTGTTGTTCATTTCGTGTGTGACTGACTTTTTTTTTTGCCTTTTATGGCAATTTTCAGTTTATGGACATGATTTCCTCTGCAGTGCTGTTTCGGCTTATGGATATAAATAAAAATTTGCAAAAACAAAATTGAAATGAAATTTCATATGTCATTATATTGCACAATTATTCCAATTGTTTTTTTCCTTTCAACTTTGCTCGGCTTGTTTTTTTTTTACCATAACAACCTTTTCTTTTTTTGCTATTTCTGCATATTAAATACAAAAGCGCCAACATTTGCATTAATTTTTTGTAGCCATTTTGATGTGACTGTTTTTTTCTCCATTTTGATGATTTAATATGGCAAAGTGTGCGGAACCAATTTCGAAACATATATACATATACGTGGAAATGAAATACCCCTGATACAATAATTATTTCTGATGGAGGAAGCCAAGTGGCCATTTCTTTGCGAAATTGTGAATAATTTTACGATTGAGCATAAATGCATGTGACAGAATTGTTTTTAATATAAACGAATTGAATAAATAAAATGTGAAATCATGTTTTCAAATATAACAAAAAAAATATGTTTAAGGTTGAATTGACAATTACTTGGTTTTATGACGGGTTTTGTGCTGTGTTAAAATAACGAAATAAATAATAATGAAAAGTCATTCAAACATACTTTTGCTGTGACTTTACATTTAAAACGAATATGTTGAGAAGCTCATGGATACTTCTAAGTGTTCTGTTAAAATGATTTGTTTGATTATTTTTATGTGTTTGCCTTAGCATGTGTTTTTTTATATTAAAATTAATTTGTTAAATTAATTTGTTAAATTAATTTGTTAAATTAATTTGTTAAATAAATTTGTATTATATGTTCTCAAATGACTTCTTCGATCTACATCATTCGTAACACTGTGTTAAAGAAGAGCTTTTTTCTATTAAACAATACTTTGATTGGACGATATATTTTTTTGATATATATTTAGCTAAAAATTTTTTTTATAATTCCAAGAAGTATTTCTGCTTTAGTACCTTATTTGATGTCTTAAAAAAACAAAATTGAAAATTAGCTTTGATCAGCATAATAAATCTTTTAAGAATTTTCCCAACTTAATTCTTGAGAGGCATTTTAAAATTCCGCCACCAGAGATAAAAGAATTTGTCTTATTTGCAGTAAAAGTCTGAAAACTCGTATATCAAAGACCCAAAGCCCTCAAAAGTTAGCGTAAGAGCGATCTGGACTTTGGGAGAAACAAGAGGGAGATGGCAAAGCATTAAAATTATTAATAGACCGTTAGGAAAAGACCGTCGAGATCGCGAGATGTTTTTCCCGCTGCGGTTCGTTGGGCTCCCAATGAGCGATGGCCTGGCAAAGATGCCGAAAGACATGAACAAATCATCAAATCAACTCGGCATTTATTTAAGAAAATATTGTAACTTTTCCCCATTTCGCTCAGATGTGTTCTTGATTTTGTTTGTTTTTGTCTAGCGGCGGCAGCTGACTGCAGAGATTGTTTACAAACTTTCATGACTTATAAAAAAAAATAAGACATAAGGGAGATAGTTTTTAAAGCAGCATTTTAGTAAATGTTTGTATAGACAGAAAATATATTCTTTTAAGTAATTTCAATTCAAGAATATTTTTGGTCTTAACAAAAAATAAACCTATATTGCCTCTAATAATATTATATTATATTCTATGGAAACATGTAAATATAAATAAAGTCGATTAGGTTATACTATGATATGTACAAATTTAAAAATCGTTAAGTCATAAGATCGCAAAATTGTTAAGCTTTTAAATTGTATGAAAATACGATTATGTTGTTGAACAAACAACAAAAAATTGCCCCATAAAATCGTTTGGTTTATAATATCGGGCAGTAAACAAACCGGTGAAGCTAAAACCAAAGAAAAACTTGTATGATGAGCAATTGCTTTTTTTTTTAAGTATTATTTGCATATTTAATTATTCATTTCCTATTATTAAACAATAGATAAACAAATGGGGCGATGGAATTCCACTATTAGAATACTTTTGCCATGGTTAAGGGAATACTTTAGCCATGAGTACTATAGCCAAGACAGAAAAAATTACCGCAACATTAATATTTATTTATCTGAAATATTCTTTGATTTTGCCCGGTGAAATCTTTCAATCCATTCAGCGCTTATATATAAAAGCGGAAGTGTTTGGCCAAAAAATGGACCACAAATCAGCGGACTTAGCTCATAAAAAATCACAAGAAAAATACACAAACAAATTTCGGGTAAACACTGGGAGTGTTTCTTCTAATTTATTTTTTTTTATATGGAATATATGGAAGATATGAACATAGATAAAATCACACACCTTGAGCCACTCACTCAGCCTCAAAGGCAGCCACTTTGGCTGCCAAACATTTTGTCCGGTTTTCCAGCGATTTTCTCTGCGTATGCTGTGTTGATTTTTCCTTCGATTTTCACTGGTGTTCGAGGGATTTTACACTTGTCCAAAGTACTTTACCCTGTGACCGCTGTATATCTGGTTTTTCTATGCACACGCACTGCATATTGCCACTTAAGTAGACTTGCTATTCGCTTTGCTTTGCGGTTGGACTTTCATTTATTATTTGCGGCAAGCTCACAACACCGCACGTTGTTGTTCTCGCTGCTGTTTTGGGTTGTTGTTTATACATATTATGTGTTTCATATATTTTGTTTATTTTTTTTTTTTTGTATTTGTTGTATATAGAAAGAGAGCACGTTAAAAAAATTTGCAAAAAAAATAGCACGCTTGCACGCGTTTTGTTAATTCCAAAAAAATTAAGAAGAAGGTGCAACACAAACAATATTAAAATGGAGAGCCCCGCCAAACGCACGTGTGTGTGTGCGTGCGTGTTCGCTTGGGAGTGTGTGCGAGTGTGCGTATGTGCGTGCCAAGCACTAAGTGGGAATACTGCTCCAGCTTCCGTTTCCGCTTTGCACTGCACTTCCGTTCAGTTCCGTTCGTTCCGTTCCGTTCGGCGCTTCGATCTCGACACGACTCCACTTTTCTCCTCGACTTTTCTTCTTCTGTCTCAGTACTGCCCAGCCCGCAGTCGGCATCGCTGCTGCCGTCTACGTTGACAGCGGCAGCGACGGCGACTGCGGCGCCGACAGCGGGAGAGTCATCGTGGCCGCTACGGAGTGGAGTTGCAAGTTTTTGGAGAGTTTCGGTTCTCTCCAAACTGCAATGGCTTAAAACTAATGGGAATTTTTGAAATCTTGATTTATTTTGCGCTCAACATTTTTTCCGGCTTAAAGATACGGATATCTTCTGAAATGCTTTAAATACAACGTAAATAAAACAGTTTATAAAGAACATTTTCGAATAACTTTTGTAAAATTCGGAATTGAAAATTTTTGTTAAGCCGAGCACTTTGGGAATTATTTCTGCAGAAGCTTTTCTAAAACACTTAGTAATGATTAAGAACTCTAATCAAACATTTAATTGAGCATTGATTATTTATATAAAAAATAAAACACAAAGTAGTTTATGCATTAATTTTATTTTAGCCTCTTAACTTTTTCTGAAGTTAAGAGTAAAGTGAAGAAATATTTTTAAATTTCTTTGAAACATTTTATATTATTACGAATTAATAAATTTACTATTTTGTAAATTATTATTATTATAAAATAGATTGAAAGAGACTTTACATATTGTTCGTCAGCTACACTCTATTTAAGCTTTACTAGTATCAAAGTTCACAGTAAAAACGTAAAAACTATGCAAAACGATTAAAAGATTAATCCAAAGAAATTTGTTAAAACAAAAAAAAATATGATAAAAAAGTTAGACAAGTTTTTTTGGAAAGATTTTCCAACAACAACTGATCCTGAAAAAGCGTACACTTGTAAACAATTTTGATTAGCTTACAACCTTAAAGCAAAAAAACATCTCACAAATTTCCTAAGGAAAAACTATTTTTTTTTTAATTTAAAAAAATTGTTCGAATGACCTAAAATTATTCTAGCTAATTTTTGATTTAGCATATTGAGGAATCACTAAAATTGCCTGCGAAAATCCTCCGTGGAACTCGAAAATAACCTTATAAACTAGTTAATCCCGAATGAAGTTTTTAGAATCCTTTACACACACAAAAACACACAGACACACACACGCGGTGCAATAACGGTGTTTCGGCTGCCAAAAAAAAAGCCGCAAGAAGAAAGTTGTGGAGAATTTAGATGGATGTGGAAGTGGGGATATGTGGCAGGTGGAGAATGTGAGAATCTGAGAAGACAAAACCAAAACGCAGACCCGTGAACGTGTGCGAACACGCGGAAAAACAAATGCAAACTGTTTTTGCTGCAGGGAAATTCGGAAAAACGAAATTCAGCTGAAAAGCCGACGGCGTCGTCGACGTCGGCAGCGTAGCCGAAGTTCCACCCGAAGTTTTCCCGAAGTCTTCGGCAGACAGACAATTGCGGCAAGAGTGCGTGAGTGCGAGCGAGAGAGCAGGATGTTCGGCTGCGACCCGAACGAACACCATGAAACTTCGTGTCCCTCTGCCGACGTCGCTGCCGCGCTCTCTCCTGCCAGATAGAGCAGAGCTTTTCCGAAGAGAAGGCGGGAGAGAGAAAGTCGTGCTCCTGCTGCAGCTGCTTGTCTTGTTGTTGTCCGTTTGCTGCATTGCCATCAGTAATTGACAAATTGCCTACATTGAAGCGCTAATTTTTTACCAGTAAGAGTAAGACAACGAGCGAGAGGAAGTCGGGGATTAGAAAAAAGACAGAAAATAAAACAAATATATGTAAAAATAAACTTGATACCGAATAATGCATTTAAAAAACTTTAACTTTGCTCTACTTAAATTTAATAAAATCAATCAGCTTATTGTTTTGGAAAAACATTTTTTAACAGAAACAATAAGCAGAAGGGGGCAAAAAGCATCAGCAAATGAAAACCTTTATAAACAAATATTAAAAATGTGAGGCATTTGAAATGATGTATTAAGGTAAATTATACTTGATTAGAGCTGGCCAAAATCGAATCTCGGAGAAACAGTTTGGTAAACAAAAACCTAGAACCGACAACGCCAACATATATGGTAATTTGTGATTTTTAACCCTTTATTATTAAATATATTTATATCAGAAAAACTGCAAAAATGCTAGATGAAATACAAAAAAATGTTCCATTCATTTAAGTTTCCAAAATGTAAATAAAAATAATGTTATTTATGTTATTCTATTTGTTGGTGTGGGGCGGTACGCAAGCTAAGTCAGATCGTTTTTATGACAGCCCATAAGTTTAGTACAATTTGCAGTTTTTTCTGAAATCGTATAAAACTTTTGTTCAGCATTGTTTTACTTTTGGCAAGATGTTAAAATATACTCTTTTAATAATGAAATACAACATATGTATTATGTATGTATTAGTATATCTGATTTAAAAAAAACACTTTAAACCATTTATAAATTTTTTGTTATAAAAAAAGATTACCAAAAAGAAAAAAATATTACTTTTTAATAGTTTTACTATAAAACACATTAAAATGAATAAGCGTTTAAGTTTTATAACTATTTTATGCATTTTTTTGACTCATTTTCTAGGATGTTTTTGCTGGAAAAACACACTGAATGTCCTGGGCTCCTGAGAATATGCAACAGAAACAGGAAAAGCTGGTGGCAAACATTTCGGCCTTTAAAATGTTGGCCTAGTTAACATTTACCGCCTAACAGAGATCGCTCGCCGATGCAGCGCTGTTAACGCCGGCAGCGCAGTCGGCGTCGACGTCGACGCTGGCCGAAAAAAACACGTTTTTGTGTCTGTGCAGAAGGCATTCACACCAAAAAGTTTTCGCCGCTTTTCCGTCGCTTTTCGTGCTGCACGTGCTTTTCACGTTTTCCGAGCCGAGCATCCCCGCTCTGCTCTTTCCCACTCTTTCCCTCTCTGCTCCTCTCTCGCTCTTTGTGAGGTTTTTGGCCTAGCCGGTTTTTGTCTTTTTTGCGGTTAACAAAAATATTGCATATTTATGTGGGTTAATTCAATGAAAATCTGGCTTTCAATTGAACTAAATATTGAAAATATTTATAAATTTCTTTCCGCCTTTATGGCTTTTAAGTATATTTATTAATTTAAAACAAAACCTGGCAAAACATACAAGTTGTTTACCACAAAATCCGAAGAAATATATAAATGCATACGTAATATTGTAACCTAAAACAATTCCCTTCTTCCAAGCTATTTATTTTAACACTGATGTTTCACAACAAAATATGTATCCAAATATTATTAGGTCCGAGTTTATATTATTTAAGCTTTATTTTAAAAAATCACTCTAATATCCAATATCCATTCAATCAAAATGACTTAAGTTCAAAAAGCCTTAAAATACTATTCTCTTTTGTTAAGCTTTAATGCTTTTAAAATGTTTACAAACCAGCAGCACCGAACAAAAATTTAAAAAAATATCGTATAATTCCTATAACAAATTTGAAATTTGAAATTGGTTAAAAATGCACAACAAAATTGACGAGTGTTTTTCTCACACACACACAAATGCACGCTCACAAAAAACACACAAGGTTTTGCATTTGTTTTTGCTGTTTCTGCTTTATTTAGGTGATGCAATCGAATGCCGCATTCCACACACACACACACACACATGCACCTCTCTCACACACAAACACAAACATACACATAAAGACTCTAAAATATTTTTGTTGTTTACTGTTACGCGAAGTTTTCCACTTTTCTTTTTTTGTGTTGATTTTAGCACGAATTTTCGAGGTGAAAAGCGGCGCGTGTTAATGCACCACTTCCTGTTGGGCTACTGTACCGTTATTATTTTGTGTGGCATGCCGGCAAAAGAACGGCACTTCTTGCTCCCTCTCTCATTCGCTCTCTGGCTGCGGTTTTCCGACATTCCCGCTCTCGATTCGCTCAGCAGCGCCGCATTTTCGCCGACTTGCAATGTGGGGAAAACTGCAATGTGCAAAACTCCGGGCATGCGATTTGAAAATTGTGTCGTCAGCATGACACAATTTTCCAGAAAATGCGCCTGGAACGGAGCGGAGGGAAAAAGCCGAAAAGCAGAAAAGCAGAAACAAAAACGGGAGCAATGATATGGGGTTTCCTCGGGGAAATCGGGGGCAATCGGGGTTGAGCTTTGCAGCGGCGCATTACAAGTTTTTCGACTTCGGGAATCGGGATTCCTGAATCGGGATTCGGTTTTCGGTTTTCGTTTTGGCAAAAGGGGAGGGAGCTGGAGGGGGAGGAAGCTCTGCTTTTGTTGATGTAGGTCTGGATTTTCAGGACACGTGTCCCCGGTGTTCCTGCGTTGGGTGGCTCTGCGGTGGGTGGTTTCTATAGATTGACCGATTTTCGTTTTATCCAGAATTCGTCATAATTATTTTTCCACATTTTTCTAAAATTCAATTCAATTGTTCTTTTTTTTTGAGCAATTTAAATATTTAAATAAGGGCCCCCTTAATTGATATGTTTGTGTGTGTGTATGTGTGTGTGTGTGTGTGCCGCTGACTCTCTGTGTGTGTGTGTGTGTGTGTGTGTTTGCGAGTGCGCTCGTGTGTGTCGGTGTGTGTGCGTGTGAGTTCAATAGCATTTTGGGCTGGCAAATAAAAAATAAATAAAACCAGAAGCTTGCAGCTGCAGCAGTGAGAGAGAAAATGCCACGGTGAAAATGGGAGAATAACAACAAGAGCGAGACAGACAGCTTAACAGGCTGTTAATATTTGGTTAGATGTAAGTAAAAGCTTTTAACAGACAAAATAATGAGCAGGAATCGTTTTAATAGCCCTGCAAAGTGATCCTTCTCTCCCAAACGATCCGAAAAGCTCATCAGCAAATATATATTAATGGGTATTTACTTAACATTATTAGATAAAATCTAATATTATTGTTAGTCACTAAATTAAATTATTATTAACTTCTTTCATTTAATTTAAAAAGAACCTATTTAAATATTACTTAAAATATTCAAGCGATAATGCTTCCGCCATAAATAATTTCATTGGTTAAGCTTAAGCCGCCCAAAGTGGTAATGTCAATTTTAAAATAAAACCACTTGGCCAAGTCAACTTTGTTGTGATCTGCGTTCGAGGGTCGGCAGTACCGATAAGATAGTGAGTCGGAAACGATTTTGGCTTAGCCCTGCAGATCGTTAACCGAGTTATCGAATGTGTTGGCAACTGATAAGCATGAGTAAGCGAAATAAAATTGGTAATTGTTCGTCCCAGACAATAAAAAATACGATTGGTAAACACGAACGACAGAGGGTAGATTGGGAAATGGTTAATTACTGGTATTAGTAACTGATTATGCCTGAATATTTTGATGATATTCTAGCTATTAAATATTAATTTGTTTAGCACATTTATAGGCCATTATAGTGTGTATTTCAATGAAAATATCTACATAATTGTTAAACAAAGTAGTTACTAGTAAAATTTTGAGATGGCTAACTACAGATTTTAAAAACTGGCAATGCCTGACTGTATTGATGATTTTTAATCATTTAAATTAACAATTTTATTGGCTTGCCGAAAATGGGTATAAAATGTTACAAAATTATTCCCTTATTGGATTGAATCATTTTAAAAATACGTAATAAATAAGCATTCTCTTTTCAGTTAACACCTTTGCAGGGGATTGAATGACGGCAGGGCAAAATACCGGTATACTCCTTCACAGAGATCTCCAAGTAGAGCGGTTCCGTATGATCGTTGGTGAGGACGCGTAAGTCCTGATCGCATAGTCGCATATACTGCCTGCTGGATGGCATAAATTCCAGGCAATCGTGTGACTTGCGGAGTTCCCTCACCTTCATGATCGAACTCCTGGTGATGTCCAGTCGCCGGTTGATTATGGTCATCACCACATGAACGGGTTGCGGCAGATCCATGCTGACCATCCACAGGGCGACGGTATCCTTGTCCTCATCGTCCAGTCCCTCGAATCGCACCTTTTTTCCCTGACAGCAGCTCGAACGATTTCTGCAGATCATGACGAAGAGCGGCAGATGTCCGGAGTAGTGGGCAAAGGCTTCTGGCAAATGGATATTCTTGGTGGGCATAAATCTCTGCGCTGGCAGAGTGCATGGCTCATGCCGAATACCACCGTAGACAAGCACCGACATGCAGGTGTTCTTGCCCAGCCGAAATTCTTGTGGTCTGAAGATAATCAGCACTCGATCGCTCTCGAAAACCTCACGCAGTTCGACACCGGGTTCGTTCAAATGCTGGCTCACAAAGTGACTCAAGAGAGTGGCATTCATCACGGCCGGACAGTGGTGGTGATTTAAAGGACATCCGTACTTCACCGAATTCGTCAGCACGGGCTTGAACATCCTCCTCTGATCCCTAAAGTGCCGGCGATATTCCTGATCCGAGGTGAACTGCAGCAAACGCAATTGACCCATTCTCAACTCGATGTCCTGCACTCTTTCCGCGTGACTGAGTTTATCGAACTCGGTCATAAAGTACTGGGTCCGCTCGCCGGTCTCCTCAGATTCCTTAAAAAGTGGCAGACCAGCACAGCCAACATCCAATCGATCAATGGGCTGAAACTTAAGCTTATCGCCCTGACTATAAAGTCCACCCATTCGATGCCTTTCGGCCAAGTAGCCATTGCCAAAGCTAGTTTTTTTCCAGACTTCCGCAAATGTATCAGTGGAATGCAATGGAACTAGACCATCTGAACTACGCGACATCTTCAGGCACAATTTTTTGGGCTCACCTTTGGGCAGGGTCTTCGCGTGTTCATCGAATTCCTCTAGAGAAGAACTCTGAGGCCTTTTATTGAAGTCCTCACTGCCACTTCTATGACATCTTTTCGCACGTCTGGGTGATAATATTGTCAGCAACGTTTTAGAGTTTGTTTTGGAATCTTTGAATTTGAGAGCTTCATTAATTCTGCTATCATTTTGGGGATTCGATCGGTAAAGTTTACTTTCTCCCCTGCAAGGTATCCAACGAGGTGTTAAAGGCTCTTTTGATTGATCACTTTTGTTAAGTGTGACTTGCTTCTTAGAACCTTCGTTTTGCTCAAGGCATCTGCGAGTTTTCATAGAACCGCAGGCTTCCATTTCACAAGTTCTTCTGCAGTCAACGTTTTTTCCATTTTCCGGATTTGTACACTTCTTTTTAGCATTTTGATTGGAATGTCTTGCCTTTACCAACATTTTGCTTGGACTTTGAGCTGGGAATTTAACACACCTTCGTGTTGGTATAGAATTTCCAATTTGAGATTGTTCAGGTATTTTTTTAGAGCCTTGGGTTGTCGTTTGAACAATTGGATTTTGGCTTTGATTTTTTTCTGGTTCATGAGAGGAGCCAAGAGCAGATTTAAAATATGGTAAATTTTGAGAGGAATTTCTCTTGGGGGATCTGTTTGCCAAACTTTGATTGGGATACTCATCCTTAAATTGACTCTCAAGCTTATGCGAATACTGAGCTAGTTCAATTTTTGAAAAATTTATCGAGGGACTTACATCATCCTGTAAATCTTCTGGGTCACTTTTATGTTCAAATGGTAAATTTGAAATGGGCGGTTCAAAGTTAGTGTTTGGAGCATTTTCCGTTTCGGGTAAAGGAGACTCTCTAGAAAAATCTCTATTGAATAGAACTTCTTTAGGTTCACATTCCTGAAGATTACTCTGTGAATTTATTGATGAGTCCCGCTCTTCTGCGTCAGGTCGATAGCCGCCGAGAGTTCTAGCCTTCGATTCTTCCCTTCGCTGGCATTCCATGGAGAAAAGTTCCAAGGGAGTGAGGGGAATGTCCAAACGCTCGAAATGAAGACTGCGCCGGAATAAATCGACAAAGTCAATGCAAGGTCCAGAGGTGTCCTCCGAAGACTCTGAGATTTCCTCTTCGAACTGCGGATTTTGAAGGATCTCTCCGCCCACCTCCCGTTCTTCCTCAACTTGGTCAACTGGCGGAGGAGACGAAGGTGGAAGTTGAGCCTGGATTTGGTCCGCCAACTTTAAGTAGCCATTGGCTAGGTTACCCAGCACTACACTCACTAAATTAAATATCCAAAATATACTAATGTTACCCTATTAGATAGATAAGACATACGCTGCGTTAACTTCTTGGGACATTCCATTGACCCGTCGTCCTCATCCTCATCCGCATCCTGCACCTTGGCATCCGGATTCTTGTCCAATTGGTCTCGACCTCTTTGGACATAACTCCTTTCATTCGCAATCCGCTGTGTTGTCTGAGTGGCTGCCTTTAGCTCTAAATAGCAGGACTTTTTATCCATTGCTTTTGAAATAATTTATTGACGAAACTTGAAATTTGAACTGATTTTCACATAGATCTAGCAGACTTAATTGCTTGATATTTGAAGCGTCAACCAAAACCCATATGATTCAGATTTCTGTTTTAAAATTTTAAGACATTTTGAATTCTCAATAATATCACAACTGTTGAAATGAAATAAAAACACTTTACAAAAATTGTGTTCTCATTAATAGTTTTACTTATTATTTTTATAAACATATTTTAAAATAATTTTATGTTTTCATACTGATTGGAATTTATTTGATTAAAAATGTTATTTTCACAAAATGAACTTATAAGCACAATAAAATAAATGTAGCTGCTTTTTTTTTGTTTGAGTTAGCATTGACTTTAATTTATGGTTGGTTTTTGTTTAAAACCACATTAATATTAAAAAGTCTTCCAAAAGTGTTAATTTAAAAAACTTTCATTGTCAAAATCATTTCCCAAAATGATTATTTTTTGAAATGACATTTTACGCGATTTCCTGAAAATGTTTTAAAACAAATTTTTAATAACTGTCTTTGATAATATCCCTTCGTAAAATAAAAACTTTCTTAGGTGACCTTTCGATTCCATGATTTCGTATTAATCACCACATAATTGGGCCAGTAAAAATACTAGATTATAAATCTGATGCGTTAAGCAAACCTTATCTAAATAAACCCCCAGTTCCAAGAACGAAGCCCATTTTGCTCTGGAAAGCTAGAACCGATTAGCCTGTAGTTTGATTAACATTTTCGGCTTCTTCCAATGATTGGCATTTCTCAATGAATCACTCATCCGGCGGCGGTTTTCGTTCCCCAAGAACTACGAGTGCGTCGACGTTGCCGAGCCGTATAACTTTTACGGCAGTTGAGAGTCTCGAGAGGGCTTCTGGACTTATCGACAAACAAGGGAACAGGTGTTCCAAAAAAGAGCCGATCGCTATTTTATTGTACCGGCCAGCTGAGCCAGCTGCCCCACGATAAGCGCAATATACATGCTCAGGTGTCGGAACAGGTGCGGTTCCAACTTACATTTTTCCGTAGATAATATTGTTTAAGAAATGTTTGCCGTAAGGATTATGGTGCACCTTTTCTTTAGTACCCTAATATTTTGCAATATTAAAGCATAAATAATGAAGAAGCAATCATTATTATGGGTTCCAAAGACGGTCTTTTCTGATTTAATATTTAAATAGATAACTAAACTTTTTGCAAAATGTGTTATTAAATTTTAGTTTATGTTATTTTAATGAGAAATTCCCAAAAACTTTTGTATATGTGTAATTAAAATATTTAAGAAAATATTTTCTTTCTTACTTTGTATGCTATAATAAAAACAGATTGTATATTATCTTAAACTTATTTCATTTTAACAGCAGTCAGCTTATATCAATCGTATTTAGTGAAAAAATTTAATAACCACCATTAACAATATTTGTACAGCTGCTTAGTGTGACTAAGAAAATACAAAGCAATTTGTGTTAAACAAGCAAAAGACTCTTATCTTTTCTATAACCCACAACAACTATAGATCTGTTCCGGAAAATAAGATAATGTTTACTAATATCCGAAAAATATCCTATTTGCGGTAAGCTTATACAAAAATATACACATAATAGATAGACAGAAGATTTTCATTGGCAAAAACTAGTTAATTTCATTTCTGACAAACCAATTATGCAAAGAACCTTTCTCAAAACCATCTATCTCCGGAATTGACCTTTAATATCTAATCGTTTTTGGATCGCCAGTAGCTAGGTGATCGCCCACGTTGATCCCCGTGAAGATAAGACCACTTGGCTGTCCATTAAGCCTGCTCCAACACGAAATCCAAACGAATTCAGAAGCTTATCGCGGCGTGATAAGGCCCGGTGAAATAAAAACGGAGAAAGAAAACCCAAAAAAGTCAAAATCTAATCGGTGGTGGAGCACTCCAGCCGATTTCCGATATAGCCAGCCCACCATCCAATGTGTAAATAGTCAGTGGATTTTGTAAAGTTTGATTCAGTTAGTGGCGTGCTGCCGGCGCGAATTGTTTTCACTCCCTCTGCGATTCCGAGCTATTTGTTTATTTATTTCTTGCTTTTTTTTTTTTTGTTGTTGATTGGTGTGAATGATGAAAGTGCTTGCGTCGTTGATCTTGCTGTGGCTTTCGGCCGGAATAGGAGGAGTTCGGTCGCAGGACGAGGAACTGGGCTGCATTTGGTATGGCCAGAGTCACTTGATCGGTGCCCATTGGCAAAATCTGGCGGATACGCGACCAGCCCGACCGCTAAACAATCCAACCGCGGAGGCCTTGTTCGCCAAGAGATGTCCGCTGCTGTACAAGGAGTACAAGGGTGAAAGCGGCGAGGACGAGCTGAGCCTGTGCTGCGATGCGGCCCAAATCGAGACCATGGATTCGGGCTTGTCGCAGGCCGATGGCGTTTTCGCCAGATGTCCCACCTGTACGCGTAACATGGCCCTGACCGTTTGTGCCATGACCTGTGCCAAGAATCACACGCTCTTCTTGACCGGCACGAATGCCAAGAATCCGAATGACGTAGACTACGTGGAGTATATAGACTATAGGATATCGGATGATACGGTCTCGAGAATTTACGAGAGCTGCGATGGCATTCAGCACACGCAGACCGGCCGACCGGCCATGGACTTGGGCTGTGGTGCCTACAATGCCAAGACCTGCAACTACCGCAGATGGTACCAGTTCATGGGCGATGTGAGCGGCGACTATGTACCGTTCCAGATCAACTACAAGTGGTCGGACGACAGGGAGGAGGGTTCCGAGGAGATCTATCTGGAGCTGAGTCCCTTGAAGTGCGGCGAGAGCTACGAGGATAGTTATGCGTGTGCCTGCATCGATTGTGAGGAATCCTGTCCGCTGACCGATGCGCCCACCAGTCCCGATGGACTCTGGAAGATCGGAGGGCTGTACGGGGTGACCTTTATCCTGGCCCTCGTAATTGGCATCGTTCTCTCGGGACTCATTTGCTGGGGGGCCAGCGGCAGCACCTCGGCGCCCAGTGTCTGCATGCCCACCCTGTTTGGGGAGTTCTTCTACCACGGCTTCCGCATCTGGGGCACCTTCTGCGCCAAGCATCCCGTCCTCGTGCTGGCCCTCTGCTCCTGGGCCATCGCTGGTTTGGCCTACGGCATCCGGTTCATGACCATCACCACCGATCCCGTCGAGCTGTGGGCCGGCGCCGAGAGCCAGACGAGGATCGAGAAGGACTACTTCGATCAGCACTTTGGGCCCTTCTATCGCAACAATCAGATTTTCATCAAGGCCATCAATCAGACCTATGTAAGTGGCAGCAATATCGGAAGCAAACGTCAATGGGTTAAAGGGGTAGAGTCACATCAAACACTAAACAAAAAATGGTCACAATGGCCAAGCATCACTTTGAAACAGATTTGATGAAAATTAGTGCAAAAACATTTTGTGGTTTAAGTGGTTTTTAAGCTATCGGCTTCAAAAGTGCAATTTTGGTGTGATTTTCTGCCAGCAATCAAAACATTGGAAAAATTGAATGCTCCATAAGCTTAGCAAAGTAACACATTCAAAATTTTGGAAATAAATACACATATAATATTTGGGTTAGAATTAATTATATTCGTGCTAATTATTTTACTTTTTAACCAGACTCCGAGTGGTATATGGATTTTATTAAAATTACATTTGGGATACCCTTTATAATTATAAATATAATTATAATATATAATTATAATTATAATTAAGCATTAAATTGGCTAACAAAATGTATAAACTCTGCAATGAAATATTTTGAAATCTGCTTATGAGGCAATATTTTTAAAAAGTGACTCCCATGAAATTTTAAACAGGAAATGTCACGCATGAAATAGATAAAAATATGTTATGAATTCTTTACAGTTCACACACGAAGCGCAAAGTGGCGTGCTGAATTTTGGTCCTGCCTTCGAGTACAACTTCCTGAAGGAAGTCTTCGAGCTGCAGGAAGCGATTATGAAGCTGGGCATGGAGACGAACGAGGGCCTCGATAAGATCTGCTATGCTCCCGTTTTGAGGGCTGGCGAAACAGCAACAGTCGACAGCTGCGTTATCCAGTCGATCTATGGCTATTTCCAACACGATATGGATCGATTCGAGAACTCCTATATCGATAGCAACAACTACACCGTCAACTATCTCAATCAATTGGAGGATTGTCTACGGTGAGGAACTAGATTACTTATGAGATTCACTTATAAACACAGCTGCGGTCAAGATCAAAATAGTATACCTTTTTTAAAAGGTACGGTTCAAAATAAATTTTTTTTTCTTAAAGTTTATACTATAAACTAACTGAGAATAAAATTAAATACTCCATTTAAAGGTAATTTAATATTTTAAACATTTCTAATTTTAAAACCAGTTCTTATAAAACAATTTTGCTTAATCCTATGTGAAGTATAGATAATCGAAATTTAATATCAATTTTCTCAACAATTTTTGATATTTATTTTAAGAGTGAAAATTATCCATTTTTAATTGTCCTAGATAAAGTGAACAAAAATCCAATTCTTTTTTTTTCGTTGTTGTGTTAAGTAATAAGTGAGCTTTAGCAAAAAATTAAAAGAAAATCCTGTTGTGGTTGAAAAGTTAGTTTTTTAAGAATTTCATGTTGTCTAGGTACTATTATTTTACCCGCAACTGTATGATTGAAAACGAATTAAGATAGATATTTCCTTCAAATACCTTATTAAACCCTTATATGTTGTTCTCTACCTTTTTAAGAGTGCCCATGATGGAGGATTGCTTTGGAACATACGGTGGACCCATTGAGCCTGCAATCTCGGTGGGTGGAATGCCCAAGGTCGCGGTGGGTGACGATCCCGACTACATGTTGGCCACCGGCCTTGTGATCACCTTCTTGGGTAAGAATCAAAACGACGTGACCAAACTGGAGCCCAATATGAAGTGGGAGCAGTTGTTTGTGGACTTTTTGCGCGACTACAAGAGCGATCGATTGGATATAGCCTATATGGCGGAGAGATCCATCCAGGATGCAGTGGTGGAGCTGTCCGAGGGCGAAGTGAGCACCGTGGTCATCAGCTATGTGGTGATGTTCGTCTATGTGGCCATCGCCCTGGGTCACATACGCAGTTGTAGCGGCTTTTTGAGGGAATCCCGCATCATGTTGGCCATTGGCGGCATTGTCATTGTCTTGGCCTCGGTGGTCTGCAGTCTGGGTTTCTGGGGCTATCTGGATGTGACGACCACCATGCTGGCCATCGAAGTGATTCCGTTTCTGGTGCTGGCCGTCGGAGTGGACAATATCTTTATAATGGTGCACACGTATCAGAGGTTGGACCACTCGAAATTCGAGACCACCCACGAGGCGATTGGAGAGGCCATCGGCCAGGTTGGTCCTTCGATCCTTCAGACGGCGGGCAGTGAGATGGCCTGCTTTGCCATCGGCTGCATGTCCGATATGCCGGCCGTGAAGACCTTTGCCATGTACGCCGCCATCGCCATTCTGATGGACTTTCTGCTCCAGATCACCGCATTCGTGGCTCTGATGGCCATCGATGAGAAACGCTATTTGGACGGCAGACTGGACTTGTTGTGCTGTGTGAGGAGTGGTGGCAAAAGGACTACAAATAAAGGCGGGGACGGTGTGGACAGACCCAAGGAGGTCGGCATGCTGGAGTCCATGTTCAAGAAATTCTACTCACCCTTCCTGCTGACCAAGTAAGTTGATAACATATTTCAGAAATTTTTAGAGCAACAAATATAATTTTATATTTTCATATATAGCCAAATGTTTTGAATGAAAAACATAGAATTTTCTTAATTATTATAATTGTTTGAGAAGTAGTAAATCGAAATGTTTTGTACTTTATTTAAATATTGCGGGTTTTAGTTATTTTACATTTTTCATTTGACTTTTTTCGGAACTGGTTTAAATATCTTTAAATAAAATGTATTTAAATCAATTAGGAACTATTTCAAATCCTATATCACGTTAATGAAAATATTTGAACATTTAATCTTAAAATTTAATATGCGTTGTATTAAATATAAGATTTCGAATTCAATAGTCAGGTATTTATTCTTACTATTCCATTTTTGTATCAGTGTAGAGTGATTCTTATTAGTGTTTGAGTAAACATTTTAATTTAATCTAATTTCTAATTTTTTTTCCTATTACTCCCATTTCAGACCTGTAAAAGTGACCGTTCTGCTAGTGTTCACCGTGATAACCTGCCTTTCGCTGATGGTGACGCCCTCCATTGAGAAGGGCCTCGATCAGGAGATGTCCATGCCGACGAACTCGCATGTGGTGAAGTACTTCCGCTACATGGTCGACCTGTTGGCGATGGGAGCTCCGGTTTACTGGGTCCTCAAGCCCGGACTCGATTACTCGGAGCCGCTGCAGCAGAATCTCATCTGCGGCGGAGTCGAGTGCAACAATAACTCGCTGTCCGTGCAACTGTACACGCAATCGCGATACCCGGAAATCACGTCAATGGCCCGACCAGCCGCCTCCTGGCTGGACGACTATATCGATTGGTTGTCCATCGTCGATTGCTGCAAGTACAACGTCACCACCGGCGGATTCTGTTCCAGCAGTGAGTACATTAAGTTAAACAGTGAATATTTAATTAAATAATATGGAGGCATATAGATTATATGAAAAAATAGTAAAAGATAAGTTATCTCGAAACATTTTTGCTTTATTCTGATTATTAATTTGCTAACATTTTGTTAGCACATAAAAACCTAGGCACTTTTTTTATTATAACAAATGCTTATCTAAAATAATCAGATCTTATTTGCGTTCTAATAACATTTTTTGTAATATTGACATTATCTTACTAAATTATATTCATTTAATTTTAACATACATTATTTAAATAAAAAAAAAACATTTTAAAAATATAAGTCTCTTCTGCTTTGTTTTAAGACTCAAAGAGCGAAGATTGCCTGCCCTGTGAACGTGGATTTTCAGAAAATGGCCTACGACCTGATGCGGAGACCTTTAGCAAGTATATTCCCTACTTCCTGTTCGATCTGCCAGATGCCGAGTGCGCCAAGGCTGGAAGAGCCTCATATGCTGATGTAAGTCACTTTTTTATTGGTAAAAGAAATTATGAAATACCCAAATATTTAGTTATCATACAAAGTATAAATAAGTGGTAAATGTTTGAGGAGCACAATTTTTAATGATCATAAATTTTGCATTTGCCTAAACATAGATTTTATCATAATAAAACTTAAGATGGTGGTGACATTAAACTATGAAACTTAAAATTGGTAATGCCAAATGCTGAAAATCAAGGAAAATTAATTATTTGCTAACATTGATACAATTGTTACATAGCATATTTGCTATTGAATTTCAAATTGTAAATATTATATTGGAATTGCTATATTTTATTCAAAAATATTTTAATCAATGTGGAAAACACAAGGTTTATAATAGTAGCTATTTGGTTTAAATGCATTCTATATTAGTTAAGTTAAATGTTCAAATATTAAAATCAATTCCCGAAACAGTTAAATAATATTTAAAATAATCTAGAAATAAAACTAATTGTTTATCTTTGATTTACAGGCCGTGATCTACACCATCGACGATGAGGGAATGTCCACTGTACAGGACTCCTATTTCATGCAGTACTCGACCACATCGACCACCTCAGAGGAGTTCTACTCGCAGCTGCGCGAAGTGCGAAGAATTGCGGGGGAGATCAATGCCATGTTCGCAGAGAATGGTGTGGATGCGGAGATTTTCGCCTACTGTGTGTTCTACATTTACTACGAACAGTATCTGACGATCTGGGAGGATGCCATGTTCTCGCTGGGTATGTCGCTTTTGGCCATTTTCCTGGTCACCCTGTTGATAACTGGCCTGGACATCACCTCCACACTGATCGTACTCTTCATGGTCATTTGCATATTGATCAATATGCTGGGCATGATGTGGGCGTGGAGCATTAACCTGAACGCCATATCGCTGGTGAATCTGGTGGTTTGCGTGGGCATCGGTGTGGAGTTTGTGGCGCACATTGTGAGGTCCTTCAAGCGGGCGGAGGGAACTGCCCAGGAGCGGGCTCGTCACTCGCTGAACGTGACTGGGAGCAGTGTCCTCTCGGGCATCACACTCACCAAATTCGCGGGCATCGCTGTCCTCGGTTTCTCCAACTCGCAGATCTTCCAGGTCTTCTACTTCCGCATGTATCTGGGCATTGTCCTGATCGGAGCTGCCCACGGATTGATCCTGTTACCGGTTCTCCTCAGTCTCCTGGGACCGCTGAACAAATTGGGCAGAAGCTCGAGTGCCGAGTCCAACACATCCGCCAACTGATCGGGAATATGAATCGGGAATAATCCCCAAAAAAAAATATATATATTAAAATACATCTGTAGCCCTTAGAGTGTGCCTGTTGTTGTGTGTGTGAGTGCCTGACTAAACCACTTTTTTACGGTCTGATTTTTTGCCATTAGCAGTGAGCTTTCAATGTCAAAGTGGTCGAACAATATTGATAAAGACAATAAAATAATTAAATAATTTATCTTAATCTAAATAAACGAGTTTTCAATCGCTGTCAGCTTTGGCTACCTGAAAAATAAAGAGATTTTTATATCAGGGAGCCAAAATAAATCAGAATTTAACAATTTTAACAGCGATTTTTTTAAATATTGTTTCCAAGAGTATACAAGGTTTTTTTTTGTTTACCAATTTGGTTACTTTTTGTACTCTATGGGCAAAATGAACAATTAAAAAGCTAGGGCGATTTTCATTTATAATCGTCACAAAAAAAAAATATTCATTATCATAATAATACAATTATTATTCATTTTCATATCATTAAAACAATTATTTTTTTTCATAATAATAAGTCAATTTTTAATTTTCATAATAAAATTATGATTACTTTTAATAATAATATAATTATTATTCATTTTCATAATACTTAAATTGTAATTAATTTTCATATTGTGACGATTATGAATGGAATTCACAGAAGTCTTTTAATAGTTGAAAACTGAAAACCAAATTTTTTCGGTCCCTGTAAAATATCCTTAACAACTTTAAGAACTATTGAAATGAAAGTACACTTTAGCCATAGATTATTTAAATTTTCTTAAGTAACACTAAAGAATAGTAGAAGTTGGTAGGCAAATGCCCACTTCATCCAGCCATTAAGGTCGTGAAAATGGAGTTACCCCATTTTTTTTTTGTTTGTTTGTCTATTTCAAAATATATTAATAAAGATAATTTCTTTCTTAAGCTGTACAGTTTGCCCAAGATAATTGTCGGTGGGGGGTTGAGCCCTGGACCATTGTTTATCGTCGTCGCACCTTTGCTTTTTATGGCTTAAAGCAACCAACTGCCGCGTGCGGCGTCAAAACAATAAACAAAAAGCGGGCCGCGATTGTAAGTCGCACAAACCGACGATTTCCAGGGCCCCAGGCAGCTGGGCAACCCCCGTGTTTATCCTGACTCCTTGGTGTCCCGGTCTCTGGTCTCTGGACTCTCGGAAAACACAAAACGTCTTACGCCTTTTGGGCAAAAGTTAAGCTCAGATTTTTTAATGATATTTCCGGGCTCTTTGGGGGAACGCCTGAATGCCCTAACCCCATAAATTTATGATTACTGAACATTACTGAGCAGGACCTTAGCATATTTTTGAGGAGTTTTGAAAAGGAACATGGAAATGTTTTGATAGATTAAATTTATTGTTGATTGTTTTTTTTTTTTTTTTTTTTGGAAAAGTTATAGCCCACTAGACTAGTCACCTAAAAACATTTGATTTGAAAAATTTTTTTGAAAGAATTTTAAATACGTTAAGTAAAAGTAATGAGAATCTCTGTTACTATGTTTTAAAATTTTACAAACCATAAAAACGTTTAAACAATTAATTAATATTTGTTTTCACAAAGAATTGAATAATGTACTGACTTAAAATGTTTTTAGATGTTCAAAAGCTAGAAATTAAAGCTAAAAAAAAAAACAGTTTAATGCTGTTTCAGGTGTAAGCCACTCGGGAAAGGAAACTCACCGCTTCGCCAGGACTCGAAGCGGACGAAAGGAGTAAGTTTTCCTGCTGATGGCTTCCATGTTTTTAACTGCCCTCGCCGCCTGCTGGCCAGTCGAGTGCTCTGCGGCTTATGGAAACCAGACACACACAGAGAAAAGCTGGAAGAGAAGCGTTTAACCCTCAAAATGAGTCGAGTGTTTTTAATTAAAATTAATAAAGTTTAGAGTGGTTTTTCCGCATGCACCGTGGTCACTAGACCAACAATTTTGGTTAACGCAAAAGGGGGGGTGGCTTTTACCCAATCTTAATCACCTAATGAGAAATGTGTGCGGGCATTAAGATTCATGCCTCATCGAGTCGCCGGCACTTTAAGCGGCCGACAATTGAAAGGCATAATTATAAATGTATCAACTAATGCATATGGCAAAATCAATTAGCAATTACCAGCACATCCACCCATTCAGATGAAGTGCAAATTGAGTTGTCCATGTGTGTTTGCACTCGTATTTACACATATTTCTGTGACTGTGCGTGTTCGGGCCAGAATCAGAATCAGTATCTGATTCTGAATCAGAATCAGTATGTTTTTCATCCTCCACTTAATTGCCTTTCAAAGTGCTTTAACAATGCCAAGTGCTGATGCCAAAAATGAACCCAATGAGCCAGAACATCTCGGCCAGAAAATAAACACGTGAATGCCGCCGCTCATCGAATGCCCAAATAGTCTTCGACTATTTTTAGATGCGAAATGCAGAAAATGCGAGTTGAAGTTCGTAAATTGTACATTTTAATTACTATACGAAGTGTTTTCAATTTTTAATGGTAAATGGTACCCTAAGCGATATTTATCAATTAATACAGGATTAATTGGTAATGTTATTAAAAGGCTCCACATATTATATTGAATATATTATGTGTTATAAGCTGTTAGTTTAAAATGTTAAGCAATTATATAAATTAGAAGAGAAATGTTTAATAAATTCTTTTTACACTTCCTTAGATACTTTTATAAATTTTTTCAACAGTTTTCAATTATAGTTGGGATAAAAAAGAAATACATTTGATTAGAATTTTTTTAGAGTAATATACAAAAAATAATTTTAATAGTTGAATTAAATTTAAACATTACACAACAATGTTCTTTAGACATATGTTTATTGTAACACAAAATTTTAAATGGAGCACTTATTTTTGGGAAGAAATATTTTATTGTAGCTGTCCAATATGCTGTATTCCAAAGAACTCTTTATGGGCCATGTTTTCATTCGAAATTTTCAAAGACATCCACTTGCCCGACCCGCAGTCATTTAACACCAGTTATGATCTCTCTCGAGAAGCGTCACTGGAAGAGAACACATAACACATAAACACCATGCTAATGAATAATCCATTAGGAGCATCTTGGCAAACTCGCATAAATCATCCGTGTGGAGCAGCAAAACACACATTTCGCGCAGAAATTGAGGCGAATCAACGAATTAATGTGGCAAGTGTGGCAATAAAAATTTAAATTAATTGATTTCGCGCTGCTCGCGGCATGTGCAAAAGGTCGAAAAATGCAAAAGCGAAACACCGAACACAGAACAGATCCTCTCGAGTGTTTTGCTATTTTCGCACGATTTGTGGCCAATTTAGGCGGCCTGCCATCATGGCCAAAGGCCATAAAGGGCCAAAAGACCAAAAGGCAGCGGCCAGGACTCTTAACCAGGTCATAACTCACGTGCCGACGAGCAAGGCATTAAAATAAAATTTGCGCATATTTATTAATCGGTTATTGGATGCGCGAAAAGGCCGGAAAAGGCGTATTTATCTGTATATCTCCGTATCTGCAATCTGGCCATAAAAGCTCCGGCCAAACAAAAACCCGATTTTCAAAAAGGGAAACTCACTTGGCTGCCCTTAGGGATTGCCTTTCATTTTCAATATTTTTTTTGGCACTTTTGAATAATGCGTTTTTTAATTAGTTGGGGAATTTCGGGATTCGTTTGAGAGTGAAACGGAAATTGGAATGAGATAAGAAGGGGTTTTTCGTTTAAACCAATATACAGTATACCAAGTTAAATCAAAGGCATTTGATTTTGATAAAATATAAATTCAAAAATACCTTTAAAGCTACCGTTTGCAATCACAAAGTCAAATACAGTAAACAAAGTTCAATCAATGCCTTTTAATTATGCAAAAGCTTTTTGAGTATTAAATAAATCTTTAAAAATTCCTTTAAGTTTCTCGTTCACAGTCACAAAGTAAAATATATTTTTAATTAAAGATGTTACTTAAGCAATGTCTTAAAGCCCTTTTATTCTTTTTTTTTTTTTCTTTTTAACCCTTCATCTCGCATTGCAATCTCACTTTGCTTAAGGCAATAATATGTCTTTTACCAGTTTGCATGTCATGCTGTTACACATTCATCTTTTGATTTCATAATCCCCAAATTTTTGAACTCATTGGGAAAAAAATGTTCAATCGTTTTCCATTAGCATTTGTATTTGCTTTGGATTATATACTTTTCTATATATCCACATGCGTTTTTTGTGGGAGCTTAATTAATGCAATTAGCCAAAGTCAGTTGTTGCATTAGGGTCAAATAACAAGGCCTAAGCCGGACTAAGCCGGAGTTTTTTGGACGCCACTGCCATGGAGGACCCCTTCTAAAATTGGTTTTTAATACAAATTAATTACGAAAGAGAAAATTCAATTTTTAGCAGTTCACAATCTGCCAAAACCAAACGCGAAAAAAAAGTTAATTAAAGCGAAGCGCGCCAGCACTCACATAAACACACGGCCACATTTTCAATGATGGAGATGGAATATTTAATTTATTCATTCGCTGACATAAGCCTGGGTCCGGCTTTGGGACTACGGACTACGGACTTCGGACTACGGACCACGGCTAGCCTAGTCCATAGACGAATCAGTAATTTATAAACGTGCTTATAAGCCGCAATCCAATTCGCAATTCCCGTTTTGGCTAAAATTACACTTGCAGCAGGCCAAAAACCCATTTTCAACTGTTTTCCCTCAGTACCGCTCTGCATTTTAGCCATTTCCCTCGTTTTTCACGAATCTAAAATGTTATCAACACTGACAAAATTCAAAACTGGCCAGTTGGCCATGGCCATGGCCGTGGAATTGGCCCAGAGTGTGGGATTTCAGAGGGGCTGGGAAACCCCCAGACGAAAAAAATATAAGGGGGTTTTCGCCAAACTGAAAGCTAAAACTGCAAACTGAAACTGAAGCCAAGCGAAAACGCGTAAGCGAATGAGTTTGGTTTTTCATTTTTTTTTTTTCGCAGCCTATAATGTTTTGTTTTTATTTCTCTCCGAAATTAAATTGAAAATTCATAAAATTTAACCCCAAGCTGTCAAAAAAAAAAAATAATTATTATAAGTTACAATTTAAATAAATAAAAAATTAAGTTATTAAGGATTTAGGTTCTTATAAATGGAAATTCGAATTAAAAAAATAATAACCACTAACTAAATTTAATTGAAATTCTTTTTATATATTTGAGTAATTATAAATAATTATTTAAAATAAAAGAA